TAAGTTTACCCTCACCTACCGGCCAGGGAGTAATAATATAAAGCCTGATGCTCTCTCCAGACAATTCCAGGATGACATTGATAGACCTGCAGTCCCTGACACTATCCTTCCTTCGTCGTTCCTGGTGGGCTCGTTAACCTGGGAGATTGAATCCCTGGTTAGGACCGCCCTCACCACTAACCCAGATCCCGGTGGTGGGCCCCCGGATCGTTTGTTTGTACCTATTTCTGTCCGTCCTCAGGTACTTCAGTGGTGACACACATCACATCACAACACATCATTTGCCTGCTATCCGGGAACCTTTCGCACCCTGACCCTGCTCCAACGTCACTTCTGGTGGCCCACCATGACGGCAGACACCCGAGAGTACGTCAAGGCCTGTACGGTCTGTGCCCGAGGAAAGGCTTCTCACCGCCAAGTCTTGAACGATCCAGGCAGCGTATAAACCATTCACTTACATCTTTCTGCTGTTTAACAAACATAATGCTAGTTTACTAACAGGAGATATCATACCAACACTCACACAGCAAATTTAGCATACTTAGCTTAATAAATAGTTCATTGGGACACCATCTCTGAAACATTTATCATAGCTATGGTCCTTGCCAACAAATTTAAGATGAAGCAAGATGAAATCATTGAGTAAGTAAGCTACTTAGGAGGAGAATAAGAGGGCTAGCTAGATATTGCAGCATAAAATAAGCTAACAGTGTTACAGTGGCTAATATTTCAAAAAGAACATACACAAGAAGAGTAGTATCAATATCTATATGAAAACATAACGTTTACTGAGAATACTTTATTTTCTTACTGGCCAACGTCAGGCTAAATCCACAAGTCAACACAGTCTGCAGTCTTCATGACTTCTGTTGGTGTGTGTTCTATTATGGGGGCTATTAAAGGAGATTGTCCTATGTTCACGTTTTTACTTTTTTGTTTTGTTTTTTCTTTGTGCTATGCAGTGCTGTCTTTTCCTTTCTGTATCGTAATGACATGGTCTGTCAACAAATTACAGTACAAAACGGTAAAAGCGTAAATGTGAATCTTGTCCAGTCTCTTGCAATCAATCTCTCACATACATTAAGGTGTAACTTACAATTTACAATAATTGTCATCAGAACTTTAGCCATAGTTTATATCAGAACACCCCTCCAGAGTACACTCTTATATTGACAACATGACTAAACAATTTGACTGTCTTATCCGAACACAATGACACAAGGACTTGTCATTCTGATGGCACTGGTAATCCATGGTGTTTTGCTATTTGTACGAATTGTTATGAGAAATGCACTTGCTGTTTTGCAAATGTCAAGGATGATTCGAGAAATGTACCAAAGCGACTAAGAAAAACTGTAAGTAAAGCCTCTTTGAACTTTGTAGCTCTAACTGCCATACTGCCCTGACTCCAGCAGGGGGCAGCATCTCCCCTACACAGCTGCAACATCAGGAGTGTTAACCAACTACAAGGAATCTTATCTAAGACGTACACCAAAAAATAAGAGTTTTTTTTTTTTTTACTGAAATGTGTGATAATATTTCTGCTCTGATTTGTCATGCATTTTGCTCTATATTAACCTTTTATCTTATATCATGCAGAGTATTTTTATTCAACAAAGGAGTCTCGAAGTCTTCGAGGGCAACTCGTTTTCGGACCCGAACATCACCACAAACTCCACGGGAGGCAATGACCCACTCTGACGTAATCACCCACAATTCATTGCAATTGAGAAACAGTTGCCCCATTTGACCAAAACAAAAATAAATCAAAATTTTGATTAACTTTTTCTTTTTAACCAAGGTACAAAGCATGCATGCAGAGCCTATGGGTGAGTGAGATTGTGTTTCTAATGATCGGACTTGCATGGCATGCATGAATAACTAAATGCTGAAACGTAGTGTAATAGGCTTTTCATGTAATGTTTAACATCGACAAAACACAAGTAGGTTAGCGTTTCAATTTCCATGACTCTTAAATTACCCTCAGCAAAAAAATCAGTTGTTTGAAATCCAAAGTAAAATTTGTTTAAAGCACCTTTCAAGGACTTTTCAGGGTAAAAAAAAAAAGACCTGTAAATAACAAGTGACAACCACAGGGACCTGTTAGCAAGGAAAGAGATGCAGCACCCTAACACAGGAGTTCCCAAACCTTTCATCCTCTGACCCCAAAAATAAGGATGAGAGACTGGGGACCCCCTCTGTCCTTGGAAGTGGTTAAAGCATTTAACGTTGCGCACAGCACCATGCACACCAGAACAAAACTAAATAATACAGCAGCCTTAAAATAATAATATTATTTCAGAGTGTCTGTGTGCATTTTAATTTACAAAGACCACAACAGATACCTACATTTTTACAGTCCTGTGCAAAGTCAACTTTTTGACTTTCTTTTCAGCACAAATCTCACTGAAGAACTACTGATTGATTTTAAATTGTACAACTTTTTGTATCTAATTTAACACTAATAGGCAAAATGTACAATTTTAAGTCCCCCAGGGGTGCCCCTTTTTTATTTATTTAGCCTAGGTCAATCAACAAGAATATTCTGTACTTTCAGAAGGCTTGAAACATCCATAATGGCCAGCTGAAGACTTTTCTTTAGTTAGCTCTCTATGGAAAAGAAAGCTTTTCCATATTCTGCTACCAAGAATTGGTCAGAAACCCCTAAATAAATGTGCTTTAAAAACTGAGCAAATAAGATCTTTTTGTGTAAGAATACATAGTATGTTTAGTCAATAAGTATGCATAAATGCACCTGACTATTTGGTTGATTTTGTTTACCTTTTCCTTAACAACCATCAACCACTTACAAACCTTTACACTTGTAAATACATGGTGCTGACCTGGATGTACAGGGATCTTATTTACTTTATTATAGAGTTTACAACATATCTAAAAGATCATCTACCTTAAAAACGTGTTTTTCAATGTTCATGCAGCAGTAGGCCTAATAATAACCCACTGTTGAAAATGATATATAATTATAACAAAACAAGACAGGGGGGTGGGCCATCCTGTAGGTTTATATAGGCCTATATATTCTTTAAAATTATTTTATTAAGTCTTCTAACAGCATCCTGATTTTTCAATGAGGTAAAGGTGCACTGACACTAGTCATTATTTTTAGTGTCGTGAGGAGACGCAGTTACTCCAGTTTCGGTCTCATTTTTCCTCAGTGGTCCATACAGTGAAGTCCCTCCCATACGAACACTGGATTGGTTTATTTTATTCCTAGACCCTCCCATAAACTCGTTTGATTGGATCCCGTCCACATCTGCATTTGTTATTGGAGGCCAACTGTTGCGTCATTATTTCCAACAGCTAGAAGTTTCATGTGTCAGCCTCAGCAGAAGCTCATATGGAGCAGTGTTGTACTGTGCTGCCATTTCAATAAAAAGAATTAGGAGTCACTGCATTTAGCCTACTAACAAAGGAGGATAAATATATTTCAAAATTATGTGACTTTAATTTAATTTAAAAACTATTTATAGCTTACCCTCAATTTTTCTAACTCGGAGATTTGCAGACTTCTTTTAAGCTGCACCTTTCAGTTTTCTCATTAGGCTGATAATGCTGTCGTGTCGTGTCGTGGAGTGACATTTGACCATTCTGGCCAGACAGACTTGTTATAGATTCGGGGGCGGTCTAGTATCCTAGGCTACTGTGATATCCAGGGAGGCGGCACCGGAACATGCTTAAACTCTGCTTGACCTTTCCCTGGTGCAGCAGCTGATCAGTTCAAGTCAATAATCAAACTTTAATGTTTTGGTACCGGATGACTTGAAGAAGACTCACGGTGTCTTAGCGGGGATATTTTAGATGGGGTACACCGGTAGCCGATACGCGTGAGAGACGTTCAGGCATGGGTCGGAAACGTCAAGACAGCGCAGACCTAAAACTTGATCATCCGGTTAAACTGTCAAAATAAAGCTTTTAATGCCGACACCTAAACATAAAGAAGAGTGGATGGATTTATTTTTGGTGTTTTACTTTATCATTCCCATTCTATGTTAGCCTCCTTAACCTTGGAATTAGAATTAAAGTTATTTTCACTATTCCAGGGCACAATGCAAATAAGTATGGCATGGTCTAATAGATGAAGAATAGATGTGAAAATATTTGACAGAACATAGCCAAAAAAGTGTCACAATAAAAGTGACACTTTTTCAGATAGCTGATGTTAGACTCTATGGACCAAGGTTTTTAGAGCAGCTGCAGCCTACAGTAAACTTTTAATCTCACTTGATCCAGCAAAGTATGTTGTATTTAATCTTTTCATATTTAAGACTAGTAATGTTTAGTTAAATCCTGGTTGTACATATTCTCATTCTTAGTTTTTTATATTTTTAGTGCTTATTTACTTTGTATTTAATATTATATTGTGTTTATTTGCTCATATTGTGTCTTTGGATAACCTGCTGCTGTAATGCCACAATTTCCCAGTTTGGGATCAATAAAGTCATTATATTCTATTTGATTCGATTGTATTCTATTCTATTGTCAGAGTAGCTTTAATTTCACTTGTAGGCTAAGGCACAGTGCACTGTGGTAGGCTCCTTTATTTCACTGTACTGCAGGGGAAATATTATTATCCATGGTTTATTATTCTTCAATTACCTAATTTTAATAAGTATTCACTTTGCATATTCTATGGCTTTGTTCATTCAATAAATTAACAAAGAGTATACTGTATGTAGCCTAGATCAAATCAGCTCAGTAAAAAAAAGACATGTTCTCCCCCTGTAGGCCTACAGCACAATGTACCAGATATTGACATATTATAATATAATACTAATAATAATATGAATATAATGTGAATATGAATATAATGAATATATAATAATGAATATAATGTGAATATGATAATATATATTATATTATCATTGTATTCACAGAGGAACCTGGGTAGTGCTATGGAAAGCAGAAAACGTGTCTTTCTTGAAGCCAGGGCTGTGCTTTTATTTTGAAATGCACAGCTGTGGTGTGTTTTGTGTGTGGTGTCTAACTTGACGTTGAAGCGACGCCTCATGGCAGCTCGTCCCGAAACTCAGACCCGTCATAAAAGTCCGCAGAGCTCTTTGGCTCCTGTGTAACTTGATTCTTCTTCTGCGACGTCGTAAAACGTGAGGCAGCAGATCTTTCACAGGATGGTGGAGGGTTGATTCCAGGTTGAAATGTGTCCTGAGCTGCTGCTGTGTTCCTCTAACGACCACACCCTCCCCGCTTCCTCATACTGCAGCGGGAGCGCGCAGCACCGCTTTGAATCCCCGGGAATAACGGCTCCTCTTTGGGCTACCTTTCTGTTTTATAGCCCCTTGAACCTGCTGAGACAAGTGAGTCCACTCTCCAAAGACTTCTGACTGCTTATGGCTACAAAAAGCAATTCATCAGAGAGGATATGCGGGACTGCACAGTCTCTGGTCCCGAGTTAAGACGCCGAGGAGGAGGAGGAGGAGGAGGAGGAGGGCGGACTGAAGGACTGAAGGACGATGCATATGGAGTCCAAGCGACTACAGCAATTGCTAGCTCATAACCCAGGGCTGTGTCTGAAAAAGAAGAGATTGAAAGTGGATACTGGGGCTGTTTTGTTGAAAAGTCGGCCTCTCGGTGGATTTGTGAAACGATGGTGCTGAAGGGGAACCCAGGTCTGCCTGCTGTCCAGGAGAGCTGCCCGGGTGCTGTCCTGTTTGTAACCAGCATGAGTCCTACACCAGGCCGGTCCCAGTCAGTGGAAACAAGTTGGACCAGATATCGATGCTGCTCCAGGCTATTTACTCTCATGCGAGTGGACATAAAATGACCTCCTATTGACCTTTTAAAAAAAACCTACAGAAACATGTCCTCTAGTGAATGTTGAGGTGACCTTTTCTTACCTCTAGTTGTACAAAGACCAAAAGAGAAGAATCAGCACATGTCATGAAATGTAGCCTAGATGAGATCTTGTCTTAAAAAGGAAAGTATCTTTTGACATAACCCTCAGTCTGCACTTTGCCTTGAAGTAGGCACCTTGGTGTCACTGCAGTTTGTGTGTGATTTCCTTTTTTTTAAATTCACAACCTGTGAATTATTTTGTCACCTGAAACAGGGTTTATAATGCCAATATTGAGTTTTGGATGAAATGGGCATTTAAATTAATTAGAGCAAATATCTTCTGCTGAGAATTTCACAGTTGTTGGATTTCAAATTGAAACATTGCTAAGGATGGGGGGCAGATAACTAGTTTTTGTCATGATAACAAAGTAATAGAGATGTTATTCACACAAAGAAATGCAGTTTTACTCCTTCTACATGTTTACATTGAGATTCTATGTCCTGTGTGTCAACGTATGATGAACAGCTGATTGCTCTGAAGAAATTTAAGGAAGACTGTTCGGCCAGTTGATAGTTAAGATTTTTTAAGTTTATCTTGGAAACAGTACAATGCATTGTACAGAGGCAGAAGACTATAAATAACTGAATAAGCCCCACCCCCTCCCACTCCCCTCCTTATTATGGCTAGTGGTGGTTCTGGCAAATCTGCAAGTGAGGGCTCCCCCAGCACACCCTGTGGCAGCCTGCAGCAAAGGAAGCGTCTCTCCTCCGTCTGTGACAGCTGTAAGGGCAAGATGCAGCTGGTGGCCGACCTCCTCCTGCTGTCCAGCGAGACGAGGCCGGTCATGACCTCTGAAGGCGTGGCCGTGGCGGACACCTTCGACCAGTGCCGCGACACGGTCATAGCGCGGACTAAAGAGCTCTCCATCCTCACGCATGACATCCAGAGCCAGCTCAACATGGGCCGCTTCAACGAGGTGGGGGACCGTCTTGTGGAGATGGCCGACCTGGTGGTGTCTCTGACCGAGTGCTCTGCCCACGCTGCTTACCTGGCGGCCGTCGAGACCCCCGGCTCTCAGCCCTGCCTGCCCGGTCTGGTCGATCGCTACAAGGTCACGCGTTGCCGGCACGAGGTGGAGCAGAGCTGCAGCGTCCTCCGAGTCACGGCCCTGCCCGACCTGACCCCGCAGCTCCTCCTCGAGCTGTCTCAGAACATCTCCACCAGCCTCAAGAACCTGACCGACATCTCATCTCTCGCCAGCGAGCGGTCACGCGAGCGTTTCGCTAAAGAGCAGTTCAAGCTGAGCGTAAAAAGCATGAGCACGAGCGGCACGGCGTTCCTGGCGTGTGTCAAAGAGGTGAAGAGCCAGCCCAGCGAGCTGACCAGGACCCGCTGCGTCCTCTTCAGTAACGCTCTGGTCCAGGCCGTGAGCGCCCTGGTCGGGTTTGCCACAGAGCCTCCGTTCCTGGGGAGGGCGGCGAGCGTCTCCGGTGAAGGGAAGGGGGTACAGACTGCAGTTTTAGGCGGGGCCATGAGCGTGGTCTCAGCCTGTGTGCTACTAACTCAGGGCCTCAGGGATGTCGCGCAGCATCCCGAGAGCAGCTCCAAAATGGCCGACTACCGCGAACGCCTACGTAATTCAGCCTGTGCTGTGTCGGACGGTTGCACTCTGCTTACTCAGGCACTCAGAGAACGCTCGTCTCCAAGGACTTTGCCGCCAGTCAACTCTCATCCTGTGAATTAGTTTAGTCCTATCCTGACATACCAAAGAGACTCACCTGGGTGACCCCTGTTCATCAGGTGTATAGCCTGAGTGTCATCAGATGAACGCTGTCTGTGTCTGTTGAGCTGGTTGAAGTAAAGAATTCAGAGGAGAACTAACAACGACCTCTGCAGGGTTTGAATTCGCGCTGGATGTGAATCAACTCTTCATCACTCTGCAGCCTGACCCGGGTTCAGCTGACGGACACAACCCTTCAAACCTAAAAAAAAAGTTTACCTCAGTTTTTCCTTTTTGGTGAAAACACCAGCCTTGATGATGGATGTAGCCTTGCTGTGTGAACCTATGATTGGCTGACCTGCTCGATTACAAGCGCTTGTGAGATTTGAGTGATCTGAGTGTCTCGATGCTTGTTTTTTTTTTCCAACGTGTGAATACCTAATTTGTAAAAGCTGCTGTGAGTGTGTGCCATAGGTTTTTACACTATTTACCAGACTTCCCATAGTATTTTCAAGTGTTTTGAACATGCATGTAATGGAGTATTTATTTCAACTATTAAATATGTTGTTTCAGATACACTCTTATTGGGACATTTAATCAGAAAGTTCATTGATATGTGTTTTATAACCCAGGTGATATATTCTCTGACACCTCTCTGCACACGCTGATTGTTCAAAGTGACTTTCCTAGCTTGGTTTGTACCTTGATAACTCGTTATTCATTCTTCAAAATAACATATTTAGAAGCCATGAGAAACATCACTCCATCATTGCTTTAAACAGAGTCTTCATTTAGTGTGTGTGGTAATGAAAATCTAAATCTTCACCCATCCCTCCACTGTGTTCCTGCAGCTTGAGAAGAAGGCGGAGCAGAAACAAAGTGGTTATTAGTTTAAAATGTGAAACTTAAGCCACTAAAACCCAGATTTCACCAGGTGTATTTTTTTAAATTTCTTTTCAATAATATCTCATTACACTTTAATTAGGCCGTATTCACCTGTCTATTCTGCCAGTGCAGCAAGGGAAATGTACTAAAGCTTTTTTTGAATTAACATAAAGATTACATTTTAAGAAACATAAGAAGGTTTTGCTTGATGCACTGACAGCAGTTTTATACTCGTAAGCAATTCAGACCTTATATTTCTGCTTTTCACCTTAAAATAAGATGTTTGGCTTTTCAAGTGAATGTGGATTATATTTAGTGTAATCAGGTATTTCAACTTATAACTGTCCTCGTTACAGTGTAGAGTCAGAGGATATTATTCCCTGCTGATGTGCTGAAGGCAGTACCAGGAACAAACATGACCACCATATACAAGTCTTCCTCAACATTACTCATCAGAAATGTTTTGGGTTAAATTTCAAAGTCCTTAAAGTAATGATTCATTTTTGAATGAGTTAAAAGTGTTAGGTTTATCTACATATTTATTTACTATGAATAAGGATACTGACACTGAACTATTTTTTCTCATATACAATTAATTTAGTTAAATACAACAACTCACTGCTGAATCAACTTTCTATATGATTTTCCAGGTTATTCACAATTCAAGAAACTGAATATGAACTCTGATAACAAAGGAACACTCATTAAAATGCCATTTAAGAAGTGTTAGTTTTAAGATACTTTGATTTAAACATCATAAAACAAAATAGGAACAAATTGTTTTTAAAGGTTCTTTCTCAACCTCAAATGTATTTCTCTCAGCCATAAGAATAAGTTTGCTTTCTATCATCAATACATTTTACACTCATTATTCTAACATACAATGTAAAGCACTAGAGATACTGGAGGTGTGGCCTATTCATGTTTACAAATCATACTACACATCCAATAAGGATAAATAATTAATTATGGACTTTACCAAGTAATGAAGACATTCATTCAACTAGGTTTATGACTTCACTGTTATGTTATTAACAAAACCAAACATCTTATGTGTTTAACAAGTTTCCCTTGTTTTCAAACCCGACCACTTTATGATGAACCATCACTTTCTACATTGAAGCATATCATGCCTTGTATGTTGTTAATAGAATAAGAGTGAAATATTACAATAGCTTATTGATGATACTATCGATTGTATTGCTTTTGTGCCTTAAGATCCTTTCACATGAAAGAATACCACATTAATATGTAATCAAAGTATTAATGTGAAACTGAGAGAAAGCAAACAAACTAATTACCCCAAGAGGGATTATAATCAAAGCTACTAATAATCAAAACCAGAGTTTAAAAAAATAACCCCCCCCCCCCCCCCCCCACAATGTGCCGATAAAGACATGAGCTATTAAGTCCATTTTTTTGAACCAGTTGTAAACATGTGTATCTCTGCTGTAATTTTAGAATGGCTGTGTGTGACTTCCAGGGCTTTTGCAGCCGGTCTCTCTCTTTTTTTCTTTTTTTTATAGATTGCTGATTGTCAAAATTATGAAAAATGAAGCAGTAATCTGGGCTCTGTGATGCTGTGGGAGTGCCCATATAATATGTTGAAACCTCAGCTCACTGGTGGGAAAGATGTGCCTCTCTGAACTTTCAAAAACTGATATTTAAATTGTTCAAATATTTAGCATCCAAGGAACATGCAGTTGTGAATTGAAGGCATAGCTAGTTATGACTGTTATCCTAAAACGTAAAGTAACTCATGATCAAGCTGACCCCTCCTTCCATGAAATACATTTTAAAGGTCTAAATCCAGAATTCAGTCAAACATAGTTCTCTGTTTTTTCACAAGTTTACAGATACTTTTTTCCCAACATTAACCGATGTTAACCGATGTCTGATGTTGCTTTACAGACTTTAAGTCGTAAAGTTTATTGACCAACCAAAACCACACAGGTTTGCACAGAAACTGATACTTCCTGAAGAGCACAAGCTGCAGTTTCAATATTTCAGAGCCTATTACTCTAAACCTAACTGTTTGATTTATCATTTGTTTATTTAGTGCCTCAACATTTTAAAGGCATGACACAAAGCTGAAGGGCTTTCAGGATTGTTCAGCCTCCCTGACTGAAGCCCAAACTGTTGGTCCACAACAGGAAACCTATAGCCGGTGCTATCAGGAGTGGCTTCCTTCACAAGACAAAATGCTGGCGTCATAACTCCAGGCAAGGTTTCGCCCATTTCCTGATGCAGGAGGGAAACAGTTGCCTATCCTTTTCCCCAGGGTAGGTTCCCATCCCCACAGCACTGACCTGTCTTTACTTATGAGAGGGACAACACCATAACGATCAACGAGTGAAGATGTTTACATGGGATTAAACGTTCAGGTTCTTAGTTTCTTCACATTGTTATTTTAAAGTAATCTAATGTGATCCAGATACAAAGAAACAGAGAGACAGAAGTTCACCTGAACTGTCCCCGCTTCCTAAAGGAACTATCTGTTACCAAGCAGACGACTGAAGTTCAGTGCTTATGGTTAGACTGAATTCATAGTTATCTCACAACCCTTTTAAAAGCTTGAACTAGATTTCTAATTTAAGGTGACACCACAGTATAGGGTGATTTATTTTGTGTATTTGTGTGTAACTAATAGTAACTTTAATTTGAAAGAAATTTTAGTCTAAGATTAACCACTTGGTACATGTGTGCTCTTTGTAAGACCATCTCCAGGCCGGGAAAACATTTCTTTCTACATGTTGAGCTGTTTTGACCCGAGGATCTGGACTCTTTGCCTCTCTCTCTCTCTCTGAGTGATGTGTGTGGCAGTAAAGAGGATTTATTTTGATTTTTGTCTGTTAATAATTCCTGGAAGTGTCTCATATCAGACTGGAGCCTTTCTGTTTTTATATAAACGTTTCCCCTGCATGATGAATGTATTGCTAGATCTGCACATTGAATTTATATTTTTAATCAGAATAATGGTGAGGAATAATCAGTGTGGATATCGGAAGTGACATGTCCCTTCTGTCAGGGTAATCAGGTGCTTTAGTATTTGTTAAAAGTTTTTTACTCAGGTTTGGCACCACACAAGGGGAATGCACGTATCGGTTTCCAGGTGTTGTTGCAACCTGAGAGAAGCCACCTGATCCTGGGTATATTATTGATGGATGCAGCTGATAGGATTACTCAGAGAACAAAACAAACACCTAAAAGAAGGAAGGAATCACATGTCACCACCTTAACCTTATTGTGCTCTAATGTTGAGGAGCTGGAACAAAAAGTATATTTAAAACGTTTTTTTTATGAGTTATAGCAAAAAGTAATATGTAGCCCCAAGTTGTCAAAGTGATGGGGAGCCCTATAAGAGTTCAATATGAAATCACAGACTAATGCTTCATCTACAAAGATAAATTGAATATATTAGATTCGATACTGATGATGCAATTTAACAGTTTCAATACAGACCATAAAAATGATGTGCTGCAAAGGGAGTGCTTATTTCAAACTCTTGTCATTATTTGGGCCTTTGAGCATTCAATAACATGACTCCACACTGCATATGCTAAGGTACAATACAATACATTCATTACTAAATAATACATTTACATAAATGGCTCATTAAAGCTTTAGATCTATGTCTTCAATACTTTTGGATAGCACACTAAAAGGATACAGTCTCTGTTCTCTGTTATATTAATGACTAGGATTGAAACGTGTTTAAGACAAAAACAACTACCCACTTTTTAAATTGCACAAACATGATGTCAGTGTCAACAACGTATTTGTTGAATTTAGACTTAGGGATCATGAGTTTGGTTACAATTTCTCTTAATGTTTAAAAATCTGAAAATCTATAACTTGGTGTTACACCCTTAAAAACTCTATTGCAGTTCAAATGAAACAATAATGAATTGGTCTAATGAATGCATCTTTTTTTAGTATTTGAATCATTTTCAAGCATCCAAAAGGTCATTACTTGGGCTGTCAAACAATTGAATTTTTTTTTTAATCACAATTAAGTAAAATCATTACAAATTCCATTATTTCACATTTTAAAATAATAATTGTTAGGCTTGTTTTTTATTTATTTCTGTATTATCTTAAGCTGACAGTACTTTACCCGCTGTTTGAATTCAACTCTGATTTTGTATAGAAATAAAGTAAGGACCTTGTGGTAGATCAGAGGTTAGGACATTAACTAAACCAGATCAAACACTAAATGAAAACACTTCAGAGGAATGGTAATGTGAAATGTTTGATGTCTTAAGTTACGTTTGACCCATCAGCTGAGCTGTCTGGGAGTAAATTGAATAAAGCCTATGAGGCCCTTTCCTCCACTGGGACCCTGGGAAGCAGTCCCACATTTCTCCCTCCTCTACGGTGCCCATGACAGTAAGTAACGAGGTGAAGAAACCTTTATTCAACACTAATTATAATTGTAACTGTAGTGTTTTTTTTATGTCTTCAAGTACCTGGAGGGTCTCTGTGACATAAAGTGACTGTAAAGAGCTGTGTTATCAGGATTGACAGGATAATCATCATTTCCATAATTAATTTTGCATCCCAGTAAACATGGTTACACTGATGGGAGATGAGTCTCTGCTGGTTTCACAGGTGATGTAGTGAGACAGTACATCCTCAGTCTTAACATCTGCTCTACTCAATGGAAAAACAAACATCATCTGTCCAGAATG